TAACAAGCTAATCAACCGTCCTCCAGATGCTGCTCTTACTTGACTGGTATACAACTATACACTCACACTCTGCTATACAAAATTATCATACACAATAGTATACTTGACTGTAGTAAAACCTAACCTCACCTACACCAACATTCAGTCCTCCTTACAGCCAATCAATCTACCACTCTCATCACATCAATAGCAGGCTATTTCCTCATTCTTCTCTGCATCCAAACAACATTCACACAACTAATGGCATTCACAATCAAAGTCCTGATGGTTAAGACCACTATCGTCCAGGGAGGGAAATTAAAATCACTTTCCTCCCTGTCAAATGATCTTCTCTTAAACTTGATCGTGATCTTCCGCAACTCTCCACTGGGGGCAGTAACCGGTCTTTAAAGAACCTGCCGCTAGGAACGCTCCACAATCCCACGTTCTCCTTCGCTGTAAGCCAGCCTCCTCCGTTGCAAGCGTCCTCCTCCTCTGTAGATTGGCCCCTGATCTTCCCTGAGCTACGGACCTGAAGCAGAGCCTTGCATTCCTACAGAGGCAGCATACAGTAGTTATCTGCCTTGCTTGCAAAAAAAAACCCATAAGTCCTACTCTGTTCCCCTGATCCATATGAGGCATAGCTGGCACACATTAGTAAGAGCTACTAGAACACCAACCAACCAAAAGCGCACACTGAATTTTGTACTGTTTAATTCCCACTCCCCATTACTGTTGTTTCATTCAGCATAGTCGGCATGTTCCAGGAGAGTCTGAGCACACCTGATGCTGCTACATTGTGAAAACTGAGCATGCCTCTGTCTGGCTGCGTGATCTAAAGGACACTCAGGTTCTACCTTCCCACCAAGAGATTTCTCCAAATAATTTCTTTTAAGTTTTGTCTTTTAGGACCAATTCATATTACAAACTGGCAGAGAGCCAGTTTGGTGTAGTGGTTAAGTGCGCGGACTCTAATCTGGGAGAACCGGGTTTGATTCCCCACTCCTCCACTTGCACCTGCTGATGTGACCTTGGGTCAGTCACAAGCTCTGGCACAGCTGTCCTTGAAAAAGAGCAGTTTCTGTCAAGAGCTCTCTCAGCCCCACCCACCTCACAGGGTGTCTGTTGTGGGGAGGGGAAGGGAAAGGAGTTTGTAAGCTGCTCTGAGACTCCAAGTGAAGGGCGGGGTATAAACCTAATCTCTTCTTCTTCTTCTTCTTCATCAATTGTTTGTATGTGTTAAATCTACATAAACTAGCATTTTCAGTGGTGTATAGGGGAGTTGGGATATTACAGCCTGGTGGCTAAGAATCAGGAAGTCCCTAGTTTCAAAAATGTATCAGATTGCTTTAGGTAAATATGCATGTGTCTCATCCTCAATTCCCCACTTAACTTATAGACACTGTAGTATTGGTACTGAAGTCATGGGAAATGAGATCCATCAATGGCTATTAGCTATGGTGACTAAGTAGATCTCTCCATATTCAGAGAGACAGTAAACCTGGGAATTACTATACTAATTGCTGGCCATGTTGCTGCTTTTCTACAGCTGATTTTGCTGCCAACTGTTATCTTATTGTTGTGATTTTTAACTGGTTTGTAAACCAGTCTGAAGACTTTTTTTTAAAGTAGAAAAGTGGGATACAATTTTTTTAAACAGTCATTCAACCAAAAAGCAGAGTTCATTGTGAAAGCACTCTTTGCAGATCCCAAGAGTGTGCATGACTTGCCAACCAAATAAGCTACAAATGACACCCGATTGGCATACTGAAGCCTCTGCAGTAGCTAATTTGGTCCAACACTGCATGTGCTTGAAGATCCCTGGTTTGCATCAAAAGCAAGGCTCCACTGGGTCTCATATCCCAAGCACAAAACATGTAGTATAATAGTACGAGAACATTCTGCAAATAGGTATCTTGGCATATGCCTTGCTGGCACAGTTAATTTCAGAGAGGTGGCAGTCTGTTGCAGAAAAATAAAGCAGGAGTCCAGTGACACCTTAGACACTAACAGAATACAAGCTCTCCTGGGTCAGAGTTCAGGATGCATAAAGTGTGGATCCACAGCAACTATATTTAAAGTTACAATTAATAAACATTTCTTTCCCCATCTTCTGAACCTCATGCCTTGGCGTTTACTAGAACACTTATTGAAAATACTGCTGCTATTAAAAGAAAGTAATACGTTTTGGTAAATGGATGCCAGTTTGCACTGGCTGACTCTTTCCTTCCCATGTGACCATCGTTTGGAATAATCTGAGGAATGGTACTGCAGTTTCCCTGCAGGGTATTGGAAAATACCCAATGGTCACCTGAGGTATGGTCAAAATCGTTTGCACCCCTGTACTGTCTGAATTCAATATGAAGATGACTTTTAACAGAAACATGAAAAAAGTTTCTGTCCTAAGAAGGCGCGTGTCTATCAATTAGTCTCTCCTCCATAAAATCTGATCAAGTAGATCATACAGTCCATGCTGGCTTTTCTTTGTTGAATTGTTGCATTGAATTGTTGTTTCTTTGTTGAATTGACACTTAGCAGCTGTGACATCTCCCAAACTGTACTTCTTTGACATTCCTGTATCATGCCTGGGTAGCTCTCTATTGTGACTAAGACTATGGACAAAATAAACACAGAGTTGACTCTCAGCACTGTTTGTAGCATGTGGCCTTGCCTTGGCCAGCTACTCCTTCATTTTAGGGAATGGAGGCTGAAGACAAATGAATGAATCCCTTGGTCATTGTTAGCAGTAAGAAGAAAAACCACAGGAAATAAAGAAATGTAGGGTCCAGCAAAGACTGTTTTAACTGACTTCAACACAATTCTGTTCTCTCTTTTCAGAAGGCTGAATCCAACACTGAAAAGGGTATGAAATCCTCACCAGAAGGGACACAGACGTGAGCAGTTTTTTAAAGCCAAAGTTTTAATCAAGTTTTCAAGTTTTTAAAAGCTGTTTATCATTACTTTTAATGCTGCATATCATGTTTCATTACATGTTAATTTTGTTTGTAAGCCACCAATGAATAAGTGTATGGGATAATAACAAGAAAAAAATTAACACTTTTGTATTTAGCACATTTTTAAATCCTGCTGTTCCTTACAGGAGGTCAGGGAGGCAGACATGGTACTTCCCAATCTCATGTTCATCCTTACCAATAACCTTGTGAGGTAGGTGCACCTGAGAGGAAGCAACAGGCCCAAGTTCACCATGAGTTTCATGACAAGCAGCAATCTGAACCTGGATCTTCCAAGGTCTAACTCAACCATCTAATCACTACACCATGCTTTCCTGAATACTCTTCTACCACTGGAGTATTACAACAAAGAATTCACAAAACGTCATTCAGACTTGTTTGAAATTCTCACTGCTGATGGTTTTCAGGTTCTGCTTCTTTTCTCCAGCTAGTGAAACACCATAGCGGGCTAGGTGATGTTGAAAAACAGTGACAAGCGGGAGTTACGGAATATATAAAAAGACAAGTGAGTGGAAAAGGCTTGTACACTTACCCAACTTCACCTCTGCATTTTCTGTTAACAATACATTCTGTCCTTTGATATCCCGATGAATCACATGATGAGCATGGAGATGTGCCAATCCCTGTGTTTTGTTTTTGAAAAGAGTAGATGTAGGGTTCTTTTCTTCAAAAAAAAGTTTGCAACTAATGGGAGTCTTTAACTATGTTACTGTATAACTGTTTTAAAAATCCAGACTTGTAGTCCAATCGTTTCGGAGGTCTTTTTTGTATAACATGTGCAACATGATCAAATGTAGGTATTCTCATAGCATGTTACTCATGCACACTTTGCAAGAACAGAAAGTATCACACTGGTAAAACTCAACTGCTGCTCTTTATGAGGTTATTTTATGTATAGATAGCATTTCTATTACATGCCTGGCCAGATCCAATCTTATAAAAAGGACTATAAAAGTACTGTGGAATGAAATCAACCCATTTGGAGAAATACTGCAAACCTATGAAGAGTAAAACAGTGTACTTTGCCAGAAATATGGGATGCCTTTCTATATAAGGGCCAACTAAAACATCACAACTAATGAGCAAGTTTTTGAGTTCATTAGAACTCGTCTTCAGGCTGAATGTTATGCAAAACAAAACAAAACAGAAAAATGTTGGACGTAAAGGAAAGTTCCAGCCTGCAGATTCCAATGATCTTAGATGAACCATACCTTGCAAACAATTAGGTTAGGCTGATGAATTAAAAAAAAAATTGCAGGCTGCAGATGTAGCATTGTGTTTTAGGTCGCTTACTGTGGTTTAAATATTGTATGTTATTGTGTGTTTTATTGTATTTTAGATCGCTTACTATGGTTTAAATATTGTATTTTATTGTGTGTTTTATTGTATTTTAGCTCCCGGCTTTGCCGCTGTGAACCGCCCTGAGCCTTTGGGAGGGCGGTATAGAAATCTAATAAATAAATAAATAAATAAATAAAATAAGTACCAGGGCTAGCTCCTATTGACTCCTTACTTAGTAAAGCTGGACATCCATTTGAGATAGTGCACTAACACAAAGACTGTCACATTTATTTTTACTTCTGTTCTCCACCCTACAATTAGACTCATGTGTTCCAATTAATGCCAAAGACAGATTCAAATGAAGTCTGGCTTTTATATTCTCCGAGGGAGAGTTGCCATTGCATTTTTGTCCCAGTAGCCTTTGGTGTGACCTAAAATCATTTTACATCTAGAACACCCTACCCTAATTAAGTCTGAATCATACTTACTCTGCTCTGTCTTAACTGTTAGAATATGTAGTCTTGGATTTTCCATCATGCCCAACAATATTCCTTTTTCAACATTCAACTTGAAGAAAAAACTCTCACCACATTAAAACATTTAAGTTGGCTGAAAGAAAATAATTTCCATACTATTAACTAAAAGTATGGGTTGACAGACAGGCTAGCAACAATTTTTGTGAGTGATGACTTCAGTGGACTTGTTTGTAAGGCAGGAATGACCTAACATAAAATGTCCCTCTGTCAGACCAGCCAACAACAGACACATTTGGTGCCATTTTTGTTTTCTGGTTTGGTTCTCTCTCTCTCTCTCTCTCTCTTTCTCTCTCTCTCTTGCATGAAGCTATATTACCAGGACTTTATGCAAACTGCCAAAGTATTTTGCAATGGAACACATCCAAATAATTGGTACAATTTTTGCTATAACAGAAATTACTTGAATCAGAGCTTTTGAGATGAATGATTAATATTAACTGCAGGAAGTATATTTGGCTGGGCTTTGGTATAAACAGAATCTTGAGCCAGGCAAGCTGCTGCCTTGCTGTTATTGATTGCACCATATTTTTAAAAACTAAATGAAAGGACCTAGTATAATTAATATATCACAGGATCAGAACAACACATACATTTTCTCCCATTCTGCACACATTTGACAAGAAGCAGCTAGTAAATACAAGCTAATAAATCAAAGGCCTATATGGTTGGGATCCATCCAATCTTGGAAAGATGAAGCTGCCTGTTTAAGGAAATGATAATCTTGTCTAGGAAGTTTGCAGCTCTTAGTCTTTAGTGAAACCTGCTTTAGTCGTAGATGGATGCTCAGATGACAACCCTGACCAAAAGTGTTCTTACCTGCTTAACTTGTTTATTTTTAAACTGCCTTGAACTAGGGGGTGTGTGTGATGAAAAAAATTAATTTGTTTAGTACATTTTTATCTCACCCTTCCTCCCAGGGGTCCAGGGTAGCTTACATGGTTCTTCCCTGCTCCAGTTCATTTTATCATTCTGACAGAGAATGACTGATCCAGGGTCAAAAAGGAAGGGAATTTGAACCTGAGTTTTTTAGGGATACAAGTCAAGGGGTCAACATTTAAAAGCCACAGGTTCTTCGTCCCTCATATAAAAGACATGTAAAGCTTTGTTTCAGGTGTTTCCACTACTGAAAGTCAAGCTGGTGGCTACCTGGAACAGGACTGTCTCAGTGGTGCCAAACAACTAATAGATTTCCCCCCCTTTAAGGCAGGACTTCCAGGCACTCTTTGGTTTCAAGAAATTGGTGAAAACATTTTTATTCCAACAGAGCTTTAGGAACGGCTTGGTGCATTTACAGTACTTGATCACTTGCTTTTACTGTTGCATCATGAAATGTATTCTTGATTTTGTTGCATACTTTGAAGGACTGTGAACAACTTTAAGAGCAGTTTTGAGTGGAAACATCAACAACTTTTAAAGCAAGATCTTCTGGCATCTGAGTAAGATTTATATGATACTCTTACTTGCCCACGGGAACCCAAGCACGCAGGCACACAAGCGCACCCCTAACAATATTCCACGTTCTTATATATTCTCAAGAATCTAAACCTGACCGCCCAGATTTAGGGTGTTGCTCTTATGTTCTTATACAAACTTTATCCTCAGATGCTTATTTAGGGCCAAATAATTATTTCAAGAAGAGAAAATGCTTGGGCTGGGCGAGTGAATACTAGTAAAGCACTACAGCAGCCCATACTGAAATTAATTCTATTTTGCTCTTTAACATTTGAAACTTTAATACCGAAAAAAGAGAGCACTGTCAACGCCAAAATAAATAAGAGACACCAGCATCAGCATGTAGGGCTTTCTGTTAATCCAGCACCTGGCTTTATGCATCAAAGCATTAAACTTTACTAGCCCTGTAGAACGGATGAATAAAACACATGTTGTATTTCATTACCCATCTCTGTTTCCAGTGTTGCCAATAAAGAGGTGAGCAACCCAGGCTCTATATTTTGACTGGGAAGTTCTCCACTCTGGTGGTTTTTAGGCTGCTGCTGACTATTCACACAGGTATTACTTTCCCCCATGTTCACTGATTGAAGCAACCAAACACCACTCCTTAAAATGGGTCCAAAGCATACAGCCTTTGATAAATGATAATCCACCAGTTGTTTCAAGTTTGATTTTTTTAAAAACTGAATCAACATTTGAGAACTGCAGTTTATTCCTTTCCCACGTCACAAGGTTAAAGTTGTGGACTTCACTGTCAAGCCTATCAGAAGTTTATGCTGCTTTTTAATCTTGCCTGTTTAACTAAATACATGGGGTGTTTTAATTTGCTTACCCTGAGAATTTCTCTAGAGATGTATGCTATCCAGTCTTCCTTCAGAGTACTTCCTTTCGTGTTTTTCACAAGATCTGTAATAGAGCCTGCACCACAAAACTCCATAACGAGCTGTAAAAAGCAGAATACAAAGAAATAATTCAAGAAATAATTCCATAAAAACATAGAAATATCTGTGATTCAACAGCAGAATGGACATGTTTACTACTACACCAAGAGAAAGTTCATATGAGGACACTAGGCAAGCTCAACAACTCATCATGTAGATAATAATACAAATCCTGTTAATATCTATAAAAGTTTATGTCACATTAGTTCATTGGTTTTCTGAGAATGAGATTTCACAATGGTATGCATGATACATGTATACAGAACGAGTAGTGACAGATCTTAACATGCTGGACTAAGGACTTCTGGCGTGTGTCCTGCCTCAGCAAAGGAGTTTATACTAAGCAACCTTTGTAACATTTCTGTTTCCTCTTTCTGCAATTTCTGTTTCTTCATTTCTGCATGAAGTCTCTAGAATGACAAAAAGCTACAGTCATGTTTCCAAACTCCTATTAGCTGTGGCATGTGGGAGTTTTCTGTGTTAGAACTGGACACACACTTCAGACTTGCACTGCAAATGATTTACTTTCTGAGTACAAATTAATAGTAAGAAAGTCGCCTGCCTCCTGTTGTTCTACATGCTGGAAAACAGTAAAGGCCAGGACATGAGTCAATAGGCAGACTATCGGATGGTGGTCAATTCTGTTCTATCAAAAGCAACAGAAAGATTGACTGGATGCTGAGACCACTGGATTCAGAAACACAGCAGAATGACTGATTTGAAGGACACAAGGAAGATAAATTAATCTTGAAGAAACATAACAGAAAGCCTCCTCTTGGGTGAGAGTAACTTTGGGTTCACAGGAAACTTTCATTATTTAATTCCATCACAGCATGTTGGTAGTTATCTTCCAACATGTAGTTTGGACATCACCGAGCAAGATATTCCAGTTGTACCAGCTGTACCTGAGCATTTGTGCATGTAGGTTCTAAATATCTACTCCAACACAGCCTGTTGTAAGTGATAAAATAAATGGCAACAGATGATGTTTTAAACCCTGTAAAACCGAGACTAGCAAGTCATTCTTCTACAGATGGATTATGTTTTATATTTTAACAATTCTTTGAGCTTTAAAGTTACTTACTGTCAAAAAATAATATATAGTTTTTTATTTTCCAAGAAGAAACACCTATTCAACACACATCAAACAACCAATACACCGTAAAGACAATCATAACAAACAATATACAACATTTATACTTTACCACCACCACCCCCCGTGTGAGGATATAGGTTCTATTTTCCAGCTCATTTCTATATTAACCATTCGTACCACACCTCTTCCCAATTACATGTTCCGGTTTTATTCCATTATCCTTAACTTAACAACTCTATATCTTTTTGTTTTAGCCTCCTCTAACTTAACTATGTAATTTCTTTTTTTCTTTCCCCCCCGTTCTGTTTATCTATCTAACTATAACATTTTGACCATGTTTTCTCAAATTGGTTCTCTAGTTTATCTGTCATTTTCTGCTGCTTGTAATATTTTACAAACGATTTCTGTTCTGGTAGGCACCTCTGTTGACTTCCAATTTTTTGCAAATAGCATTCTTGCTGCTACAATAATCAGAATTATACAGTGCACATCTTCTTTTTTATGCTCTCTTGGTGGTATAGTTAACAGAAACAACTCTGGAGTGAACGTAATATTAATTTGTAAGCTTGATTGGATAATTTCGTATACTTCTATCCAATAACGTTTAGTTATTGGACAGTTCCACCACATGTGGTAGAATGTGCCCAGCTTTTTCTGATATTTCCAATATAAACTCGTATATTTAGGATCCATTTTTGCTATTGTCGAAGGTGTAATATACCATCTGTGGAACAATTTGCAAATGTTCTCTTTGTATGATACCGCTCTTGTCACTTATATACTTTTTTCCCAGATCTGTTCCCAGTCTTCAAGATTAATGGTGTGCCCTAGATCTTCAACCCATCTTATCATTACCTTTTAAACTATTTCATCGGCCATTTTATCTTCCAGCAGAAACGTATACATTTTAAAATAAATTTCTTATTTGTATATAGAAGAATCTTGTCCAATTCAGTATATTCAGCATAATAACTTATTTTTTAATCTTGTGTGTATCTCGATTGGATTTGGGTCATTTGCCACCAATTATGGTCTAGCGGTTTCTTCAGTTCTGAATTCTTTTCTAGTACGTGATATATAATTAAGTTTTCTTTTTGGATTAAATTAGGATTTGAAAGGGCTTCTAAAGGGACTACCCATCTCGGGGTCTTTATATAGAAACGTTTTTTAACTTGTTCCCAGACTTTTAATAAGGAGGCTCTAAGCCAATGTGTTTCAAAATATTTGTGTATCTTGGCTTTCTCATACCATGAGAATGCATGCCATCCTACAAGCAAGTCATGCGCCTCCATTTTTAGTAATCTTTCATTTTCCAAGGTTACCCAGTCTCTAATCCATTCCAGCACCGATGCGTTATAATATAGAAACCAATCAGGAAGCGCAAAGCCTCCTCTACTTTGAGAGTCTTGCAAAATTTTCAGTTTAATCCTTGGTTTCCGGCCTTGCCAAATAAAGTGAGCTATTAGTCTATCCAACTCTTTGAAATAATTATAATCTTTTATCACTGGGATGGCTTGAAATAAAAATAACACTTTTGGCAAAATACACATTTTAATAGCTGCTATTTTCCCCATAAAGGATAATTGATACTGGTTCCATTTTTGTAGAGTTTCTTTTATCTCTTTCAACATTTTATTATAGTTATTTTCCATTAGAGAACTTGTTTTGTTAGTAAAGTGCACTCCTAAGTATTTAATACTTTTCGAAACTCCTACTCCTGTTTGTTCTTGCAGATTTTCAGCTTGTGCTTAGTCATATTTTTACCAACATTTTTGTTTTTTTTAAATTAATTTTAAGTCCCGCTAATTTATCATAGTCTCGTATGGTTGAAATCAATTTACTTGCCGAGTCCTGTGGATCTTCCAAAATAAAAGCTAAATCATCAGCAAACGCCAAAAGCTTATATTCTTGGTTTCTCAGTTTCAGTCCTTTAATTTGTTTGTCACTTCTTATCTGATCATTTAAAATTTCTAACGTCAAGATGAACAACAATGGCGACAAGAGACACCCCTGCCTCGTCCCTTTCTGTATTTGGATTGTCTGTGACAGGTCTCCGTTGATATTTATTTTAGCTTCTTGTTCTTTATAAATTCTTGTTCTTTATAAATTCTTTGAGTAAATTCTTTGAGTAAATTCTTTACTTACTGTCAAAAATAATATTTTATTGATTTTTATTATTTTATCACTGCAAACTGCATCAGAAACATGAATATTTTAAATAAACGACTAAATAAGCCTTTAAATGCAGTAAGCCCTATATATTTTTTCCAGTGCTATTACTAGGAAATGGGGAATCAAGCATTGAAAACAAGTTATTTTTGCTGGGAATAGAATGCTTAATAGCAATAGTCATTTCAGTTTTCTTCTTAAGGTTATTCACGTGAATGCATAATTATAAAACATTATTTTGTTCCTAAAATAGGACATTATTTTATTGTTCATTATCAGGCTGCCCTCAAGTAACTACCAAACAGGAAGTGAAAGACGCCTGTGAAGAATCGGCTTACCCACAGTTGATCATCATGCCCTGGGGGACTTTTCTTAATGAAAGCACCATAGTAAGTCGCAATATTTCTGTGATGGGAGTATTTCTTCAACATATTTATCTCCAGTTTGATTTCTTCTTCTTCATCCTTTGGAAAATAAAATTTTAAAAAAGAAAACACTAACTTGCATGCATCTACAGGAGCTTTGGTGATGAACCCAAATATACACACACCCCATTAACCCTAAAACAGCAGCACAATCTTTTGTCATAGTCATGACGTGCAAAAATGGGGGAGGAACAGGCATATAGAGCTATCATTTCTGTACCAACATTTAAAGCTCAGTCTAGGTTTGGCACAGCTTGCTTACACTATTGTGTTAGAGCTGTCTAAGGGTTAAATATAATGGGCTGATCTTAGATTAAAGAAGACATCTCTGTGAAAGAGGATAAATATACGATATCCACACTGGAGGAAAGAGAAGAAAGGGTTAAGTAACCCCTTCCATGGGGCTGTTTTCCCCATCAGATTAGGAGTATAAAGCCGGCTTTAAATGTAAAGAAAAACAAAAGATCTCAACAAAATGCTTATCACTAACCTTCCATGCTAAATCAAATTAACCTCACAAACTGAAAGGAATGGTCTTACAATGTCCATTCAACAGAAGATGTTTGTTAGAAGTGATGGGGTTTCAGTATTCTCTGGATAGTTACTGTTGTGATGCTGGAAAGCTTTTTTCCACACTGCCCTCTAATAGCAAGAATACTACAATAAACTGTATATTTGCAACTATTTTGTTTTTTTTAACAATATGTTTAAAAATATGTAAATCTTTAAAAGCCAAGAAAGAAGCAATTCATTGTGAAAGGCTGGTAAACTCTTGGGAATTTATCAAATGGAGCTGGCATCAACTACCACTTTAAAGCCATTGTGCCCAAAATACTGTACACACATTATTTTTCTCTGCCCATAATGCATCAGCTTTCTTAAAAACAAAACTCATTTCATGACAGCCTACCTTACATCTGAAGATACAATTTCCATGTTGTAAGAGCCCACTGTGCCTAATATCAACCACTACACAGTATTCCCTCTACAAAGGGAATCATAACAAAGAACATTGCTCAAAAATATATAAAATCTAGGCAACAGCTTCTGTGAGGACAACGGTATAATAGAGATGCTATATTTACAGAACAGGTCTTGCCCAAATGCAACAACAAAATGCCCATTTCAGGATATTGTCAGCGTAGTGACATCTGGTGGCTACTGTAAAATGCTGCACTTGACCACTGTCATTAAAATAAAACTCAACACAGTCTAATTAACGAGTTAAACCCATTTTCGTCTACCACTGGTATAATTCATATAATACTACACCTTGAGAATCAAAAATCATTCTCCATTCCCAGCTGTTATACAAACGCTATTTTTAACACTTCCTTTTCTCTTTGAACCTAATAAGTGATTAAAATAACAAACGTAATAAATTACATACTGTAAAAACTGAGAGCTACGGGAAGGCTGGAAAAAAATCTCTCCAAGAAGGTAAATCATGAGATTCAACCCGTTTAATATAATGTAACAAAGACACACTGGAATAGCTCCTTGCATCTAGGAAATATTTACTCTTGTTTATTAGCTCTCATTCATAGAGACCATGTTATTCAAGCATTGCCACAATATTATGATGGATGCAATGGAGTAATTTCGTACATGAGAGACTTTCAATATGCAGTGATATGAGGAGAAATCATACATTTCCTTCTCTGAACAATTCACTGCAGGGAGGAACAGCTCACAGATCATATACAAACTTAGCTTCACATTTGTCCCCTTGCCTCACACTTGTCCCTTAGGTACAGCTGCATCATATGCGCTGGCAGTTTCCTTAAAGTGGTAGGTTTTCAAAGCAGCTTCCTGTCAATGAACTAGAATACAGCCTCAGTGCAACACCTTTTTAAAATTACTAGATTTATTCCATTTTCCAAATAGGCACTCTGGGGGTTTAGAAAAGGAAATGACTTCTCATTTGTGACATGTTTTGACTTGTTCTTTATCCCCCTTTAGGGCAGAGAATATTCTGATGTGGTCTTCTTTGGTTCTCTGATCCTGGTTAGCACCTGAAAACCCATATCTGCATCTCTGTTTCGTATGAACAAAAACAGATAATGGGAACAATATGCCATAACATTTTTACAATGAATATTCACAAGAAATGATGCAACAGTCAACGGCAGAAAAATCTGGGAGTTCATCCAGAACATACACCTATACAGCGGAAGAGAGCGTGGTCAAACTGATCTTCAGCTTGTACTCAGAACATAAGAAAAGCCCTGCTGGATCAAACCACAGGCCCCTCCAGAGCTCAGAGACCAAGGCCCTCCCCAGATGTCGTCTGGTATTCAGAAGTTTACTGCCTCTGAACATGGAGGTTCCTTTCAGCACCATGGCTAATAGCTACTTGTAGGCCTATCCTTATCTTCGTCAACTCTCTCCACCCCGTGCATAATTTTATAAACTTCTACCATGTCCCCCCTTAGTCATTTCTTTTCTAAACTGGAAAGTCCCAGACTCTTTAACTTTTCCTCATATGGAAGGTGCTCCAACTCCCTAATCAACTCCCTAAAGAAAAAAGGCAGACTTGCCAGCAGGGTACATTATCTGATAAAGTAGCATATTATAAAATGGGGGCTAGGGGGACTGGAAGGTCATACTGACACAATTCATGTAATCCACATTAGACGCATCCTGGGGGTTTGCATGGCCTTTATTCCTTCTCATGCAGATTGCCATCTCTGTTTACATATTTCATTTCACCACATTCTGTCATGATGCCTGAATCAGGCAACTATGGCTAGTGCTAACTTCCAAACCATAGTGGACAAGCCATAGGTTAAAACAACTAAGCCAATAAATAGGCTGCAATGCTTCTGAATGAAAACTAAGTGCAATGCTGGAGTTAACCTAGCCTGTGATGTGAGGCAGAAAATTTTCCAATGTTGTATTTTTTCTGAGGAACATTTTCCACACTACATAATGCAGGGGTGTCAAACTTAAGGCCCACAGGCTGGAACCGGCCCGTCCATGGCTTTAATCCAGCCCCCATTGAAGCTCAAGGCTGCCGAAAATTCCCAGGTTCTTCAGGTCCTGAGAAAATGAACAAGTAAGTTAGGGATGGGCATGAATCGTGGAAATGGAGGTCTTTCCCAGTTTGTAGTTCGTGAGGTCCCACGAACTGGGACAAAACCCCCACTTTGCAAAGTGGTTTGGTTTGTGGATCTTCCCTCCGTTCTTTCTGCTGGGGGTGGCTCCCTGAGGCCAGCAGAATGGAAGGGGGAGAAGATCTTGCAAAAGCCATTTAAAGGGAATGTTCCCTTTAAATGGCTTTTGTAAGCCATTTCACCGATCCTTTTCATCCCCTCCCACTTCTAAGGGGGAGCTAGAGGGATCGCTGAAATGGCTTGCATCTATTTCAGCCTAAAGGGAACCGTCTAAATAGTTTTTGCAAGCCATTTCTGCAATCCCTTTCGCTCCCCCCCACTTCCGCTGAAATTGTTTCCAACTGTGAAGGCATTTAAATGCCTTCCCACTTCACTAGCTGAGTGAAGGGATCCTTTTAAATGGTTTTTGCAAGCCGCACTGCCACAAAGGCATTTAAAGAGACCGCAGTCTCTAAATGCCTTCTCTAAGACCCATCGCCGGTGCCAGTGTATGTCCCAACACAAGCAGCATGGACCCACCAGGGAGGTTTGTGGGGCTTGTGAGGTCAGGATGGCACAAACCAAGGTTCATGAACCACAAACCGGGCCCGGTTTATGACAAACTTCAGTTCATACCCACCCCTACTGTAAGTTGCATTGACCATGTATAAGTAACCCTGAACAAAAAATGTAATTTTAATATTAGTAGAAGGATTATTATGACTACCCAAATATCTCATCACTTCATAATGTATTTACTCGAGGGTCATAAAAATAAAGATATTCTCTCCCCTCCCAACAATTAAGGGTTGTGGTACTGTTTCATCTTCAGAAAGCCCCCTCTTTTGAGTTTAAAGGCAAGACATAGTCCGAACTATTTACAGCTACTTGTGGCATGAGAATAAAATGAGAAATAAGGATAAAAAGGGCAAGTGATAACAGGCAGGGTTTTTTTCCCTGGAAGAACAGCAACGTCTGAAGCTATAAGCACTGTGCAAACACATGCTGGAATTGTTCCCATGTACTAAGAAGCCAAAAACACTTGTAGAACAGTTGTTTGTTGTCCCTGACAAAGCAACCACCTGCTGCAATCTTAATAACCATGGGGTATTGTCCTCCCCCCCAATCAGCTTCCACCTTTTCATATGTCACTGTGCCTCAATCCCTGCCTTTGCTGCCTTTGGGTTAACGATATAGTTCCCAGTATGGATTACAAAATACACAGTGAGGGCCAATATATTTTTTCTCCAAATGGAAAGCAAGCCTTTATGGGAACGTTTTCAGTGAATGTTGTGATTATTCTGCATTTATAGGAAGAGACTTTAAGGAAGTGTTAATTGAAACAAGTGATCTGTTTCCAACTGTTCCAGACAGGCATTGCAGAGGCTGTTATACATTACAAAAGATTGCAGAATGTATGCCATTTATCCCACTCTATAGATTGCACTTACACGTCTTACTCCCATAAAACTTACTCCCATAAAATTATCAGAGGTATGGGCAGGTAGGGAGAGTGGTCCATTTTTCCACACTGTAGACTCCTCTTCTATCAGCATGTGTATTACTTGATTTGATTTATTAAATTTCTACCCCGTCCTCCCAGCCACGGCCAGTTCAGGACGGCTCTTCTGACCATTTCATTGTTTCTGATACTTATTGTTATACAGAAAGGATAAGACTTGTCCCTTGCCACAGAAAATGAACACATACTGCTTCTCCATAACATCTGTTTGCATAGACTAAAGCTAAAAACCAGTTACTTAACTATCACCCAGGTGCTTCATGGTCTACTATTTGGGAAATGCTTAAAGTTTCCTTATTCTAAAACTTCCCACAAAAAGAGCCATGACTGAAAATCTTAATCCCTCTCACACACAACCCCTAAAGGTAAAATCTACTTTCCCCACAAGCAGAAGTTGCCTTGACCTATATTACACAGAATTA